TTAAATTTGAATTTTAAACACTACTCATACGATCAATTCGAGACAAAACGCTGCTCTGATACTTTCGTATTGGGCAGCTAATAATGAATGTCAAAATGAATTTCTTAGTGATTAAAAAAAAAAACAGGGTCCTGTTTAAAGACTTTTCATCCAGCCGGTATATGGTTTTTTATACTAAGAAGCCACTAAGAAGCCACTATAATGCAAGCCGAATTTTAGTGTATTCCGAAATATTCCGAAACCTCATAAGCAATTCCGAAAAATTCCCGTGCGCATGAAATTTGAAAAAATCGGATTTGATATTTCTCAAAAATTAGCATAAGAAACCACCTTTTGCGCTCTAACAAAAAATTCCTTGTACAATTTTACTACCGGATTCTTTACGCAAGGCCCTAATTTATTTGAATTTTGAAGATTTTCCGATTCATAGATTTTTTTCGGGGGGAATGCTAGGGTGGTTCACGTATACATGTGTGCCTAAATTATGTTTGAAAAAATGTATTTTCGACAAACATTTCGGCATTGCTAAATTTTTATACGAAACACTCCGAAATAACTATACTATATGATGTATTTTGAGGAAAGAGTTCAAAATATTTCGACAATAAATTCGGAAAATATAAAATTTAATTTCGGCACTATATAAGACTAATTTCGTATGCCTAAATACCGTAATTACTTTTTTTTTAAGATGGGCAATTTAGGCACACATGTATACATTGCATGCAATAGCATGATACAGCACTTCAATCACGATATTCAATGTGATTTTCGCAACATCATATCTTCACACCAGCATGGCATATATAGTATGGTGTGATGTTATCAATGTTATCATGTGTTGTACCAGTATCATCTTAACTCTTATTAGAATTAGATAAATGGAAACCATTACTTATATTAAAAAGGGATTATTCAAAAATCAGCATAGCGAACATCAAAAAAGTTGAACGGAGTGATCGTACTGATATTAATCGTATTATATAACTCGGTTGAAATTAATTAAAATAATAGACTTTATATATCTAATTGAATTAATTACCGTATTGGCGCGTAATAACGCACATGCGCGTTATTTCGAAACACGCCTTTTTTTGTCCCTCATCGAGGGGTGTTACAAATGAAAATCAATTATGGGTTATCTGTCCTCTCCGCTTTCGTGCTATCGTGCCCATACTAATAGTACAGACTTCGAAAGTATCGTATAAAACAACCTATGCTACTGTTTACTACGTACACTACTAAGGTAAAAATATATATATTGGCGGGCAGGGCAAAAAAAACCAGAATCAGCTGGAAAAAACCCCGCCGCAACCAAAATCTTTTGTGACTGTCGTCTCGACAGGCCACTTACACTGAAAACTCAAAATAATTGTGACTGTCGTCCCGACAGGCCACTTTTACAATCAACAATTCCCAAACCTATGACTGTCGTCCCGACAGGTCAATTTTACAACCAACAATCCAACAATACGACTGTCGTCCCGACAGGCCACTTATTATAAAACTCGAATCGTGGCTGTCACCTCGCAGGCCACTTTCATATATATGACTAGCAAGAAAATTTCATGTGACTATCGTCCGACAGGTCACTCCTATTTCAAAAAACGTATGACTCCTAAGCCGCTGCAAGCTCGAGTACGAGGATCGGGTAGGGCGGGGCGAAAAAACCAGACAAAGTCGGGTTAGCAGAAAAAACAGAAATTAACTTTCGTGGGAAAAAACCCCATTTCACTTAAATACTACTAACGATTAGTAATCTCAAATACTACGTCATTAGGTCATAAAATCACATACGAGATCATACAATGCATCAACGGAGCCATAGTTAAAATTATTATGCATCAAACGACAAGATCATACGATCATGCATCACAAGCAATTACTATATACCCGTGATCGATTCGAGACAAAAATGCTGCTCCGATACTTTCGTATCGGGCAGCTAATTTTGTCCCTCATCGAGGGGTGTTACAAATGAAAATCAATTATGGGTCTTGCAGAGTATCGCCACATAGGGGCCTGGTTCTAAAAAATATGTTACTTACAACTTCACTTCTTGGCTAGTCGAAGCCCATCAGCCTAGAGGCCCCAACTCGGCGGTGCTAATCGCCCTCATGTACACCTGTACTGCCCCCGATGTCCAACCACCAATCGACTGGATTTGTTCCATTGTCATACCTCCTTTCAAGGCCGCAGTTGCACCGCCAATCCTTAAACTATGCGCTGTATACCTTCCATGTAGCCCAGCATTTTCTGCAAACCGCTTGACAATGGAAGATACAGCTGAAACAGATAACTTTTCCCCACTTTTAGACAAGAACAGAGGCTTCTCAGGTGCCGTAACTGGCCGTAGCCTCAAATAACAAGCCAACAACTTCACTGGACACACTCCACTCGTTGATTTTTCAACTGGAATAAACTTGCCTTTTCCCAATTGGCCCGTCTTTGACCTTGCCACCCTAATCCACAACTTTCCGTCCCTTTTTAAAACATCCGATCTTCTCAAATTGCATAGCTCCCCTGGCCTACGCATAGCTCTTAATCCTAACGCTATTAATGCCAAATCCCGTGCCCACAGAACTACATTTACTCCAGGTGGTGGGCAATCAATATACCTCCTAATAACTGAAACCGGCAGCGGGTCTCTTGGCCACTTGGCCTCTACCCTTTCCTTGGGAGTTGTTCTCTTAATTCCTTCCACAATTATTCGAACCAAACTGCACTTTGTAGGGTCCTCAAGGCCCCTTACTTTATGCTCTCTAGCCACTGCCGCTAGGCAGGTCGGTATTTCAGCTGTCTTCTTGATAGCTCCAGCCAAGCCAGAAAAGCTACCAACAGCTCTCTTGATGCTGGGTATAGAGGCATCCCAACCCAACAAACAAACCCATTAAATACACTCTGAGCCTTAGCCAGACGTCTCCTGTACTCTTCACTAATTGATCTGTCCTTCAAATAAGCTGCTCTTCTTAAAAGTTCACCGACCAATCTAGGAGTACTGCCCTTAATGCCTATTGGCTGTTTTTGCAAGGCTCCAGATTTCCCGATGGTCCTGGGTGGATAATTTGGCTTGGTGGCAGTAAGTTGATCTCTTTTTTTGCTGAATTCACTATTAACGGCCACCATGGGGCCGAGACCCAACTGGGACTATGATTACTATCCATGCCCCACATTCCTTTGCATAGCATAGTGCCTTGTGAATCAAACAAAAGGGTGGGCAAATATAATTCCTTACTTCCGCCCAATTTTGAGTAAAACAGTCTACTGCCTCTGTCCCTGGGCAGAGATACAGGCTGTTGAATCTTTGGGTTTTCGCATTTAAGTGACTTGCGAACCTGTCCACCTCGAATCGTCCCCAGGCTTGTTCTAGCTGTGCTACTACATTCGAACTCAATACCCAATCTCCTTGATCCAATACCCTTATTAATATATCTGCCGGGTTCAACTGACTCGGAACCCACCTCGTGCTAAAAATTCCAATATCTGCCTCCACACATACCTCCCAAATCTGCCTAATAATGTCTTTTTGCCAATTCATAGGGCCCCCACTTATTACTGTTTTCAAGGCCACTCGATTGTCGATACATAGAGTCACCCAGGACCCTTTTAGTAACTCCTTGAATGACTGGAGTGACCAAAGCACCGCCAATGCCTCCAACTGTGCTATAACTCTTGAGGTATGAGGTTGTGCCCAACTTCCCGCTGCCCTGTGCTCCTGAAAGACACCACACCAACCGGTTATCGATGCATCGACATACACCAACCTTACTCGGGAAGGTTTCCAGGCTGGCCGGCCATTCCACCTTCTTAGGTTTACTATCAACCAATGGATGTCCTCGACCGCCTGTTCCGATAGCTGAATTCTGTTGTCCCATTGCCCAATAAGCCGATTCTTTGAGTCTATCAGCTTGTAGAACTCCATACACTTTACCTGGCTTGGAAGAAAAGCTCGTCTCAAACTTATTATCGTTCCTGCAACCGATGCCAAACTCCTCGCCGTTACTACCGGTGCCTTCAACAATGCCTCCAATCTTGAAACTGCCGACACTATCTTTTCCTCGGGTGCTACCACCAAGCTATTCGACGTATCTATTACAATTCTGCAAAACTTCAAGGTCTGAGTCGGGTTCCAGCACCCCTTCTCCTAGGCCCGAACCCATCCACATTCCAATAGATCTACCTCTATTACTTTTGCCCTTATTTCCAACAACACTTCCCTTACCAGGTGGGCAACCCATAAATCGTCCAAGTGGTTCCCACAATATATTCCTTGGGCACGCCATTTGCCGATTAGAGCTCTCATTAGTTTCGAAAAAACCTAGGGGGTCTGACTTAGGCCGAAAGGTAAAACCCTGTACTGGTACCATATTTTTGCTATGACAAAGCCCAATAGTTTTTGCGCTTCGGTACTCATAAGCACATGATGGTAACCATCCTTTAGATCGAACGAAATTGCCCACCAGTTCCTTCCAATTGTCCTTAGTAGACTGCCCAGCCCCTCGAAACGAAAAGACTTTTGGGACAATGTTTGATTTAACCTTCGCAGATTGACCACTAGTCGAAACCTTCGGGGACCCTTTTTCGGAACCAAAAAAATCGGGCTTACTTCTAAAAGTCCCAATGGTCGAGTACAACCTTCGCCAACTTTCACTATTGCATCCGAAGTTTTTAACCTTTCTAACTCCTCTTTCAACCATTGTTCCTCCTTTTTTGTAAACTGATAAAGCCTTGGATCCGGACTGGCTACTAAACGAACTAAGTTTCTTGGAAACAACGGAATTCCTTTCTTTAACCACATTAGCACCAACTGCGATGGCTGAATCACCTCCTCCCAGTACCTTATTGCTGCCCTGCTGTGAATTTTTCCTGTTACCTGCTCTTTTGCAACTACTACCTCCTCTACAAACCCCCGAGTGTAGTCAACTATTTCCCGACTGGGCTCCATCACCTCGAAAGGGCAAACCAAGGTGCTAAAGATAGGGGCCTGGGTTTGGGACTGCTCAGAACGGAGGTGATAAGCTGATCTCGGCTTCTTGGCTTTTGTAAAATGCTGCACCGCTAACCTAGCTCTTTCACGCTTACTTCCTAAAAGCTCAGACATTGGATCCGAAGCATCCGCAGTAGCCATCTTGGATGCAACCCCCAACCATCTTTGTCCACCACTCTTACGACATAAGCTCTCTCCAAAACAACCTGTCTCGCCAAACGGACATAGGCTAAATCCCCTGACAACAAGGCTTTGTCTAGTAATGCCCCTATTTTGCATAACTCATTATACTCCCACTGGTTACGCTGCTTTGACAGCTCACGCTTTTCCCAAATGCTCCTACGCTCCACATCCTCTAGCATCAGGGTATCTAAATCTGCATTCCAACTTGGGGCTTTTTTGTCCAAGGTTCCAATATGTGCAAAGTTTGAACCAAACATCGCCTGCCTTCCATAAGGATCGGGAGAATTTTCTACCGCTGCCCTTAACTGCTGCGGCCTGTCACTAGCACTCTGAAATGCATCAAGCTCCTCCGAAAAACTCTCATCCTGATTCCCAAGAAACTGTGGCTGTACATTTTTTCCTTTTTCGGGTGGCTCGGGTTCACCAATAGCCCCTTCCGGCCCCATCCGGGCTTTACTTTCCCTTGCTAACCTAGCCACAACCTCCTTTTTTGAGCCTGCATCAGATACACCCATTCCTCTGCAGACAACCCTCAATGCTTCCAACGACAGTTTGACTCCAAATTCGCCTGCGTCGTGTCAAGTTGAGCTGAAGCGTCATTTGACACTACCGGTTCCAACTCCCTATTCGACGTTGACATAACAGATAACCACAAAACTAGCAATCTCTTTCACTTAACTCGTCTAACGAAACGATCAATATTTGTTTTTAGGTGCGACAAGCAAAGCACGAAACTAGTTACTTCGCTCCCGTATAATGCAACGGTAAATAATTGTTTTTACTTTAGATGCGACAAGCAAGCACAAAACCAGTTACTTGCTGGTACAATGAAACGAAAGATTCTAACTTATGTAAGAAATATGTGTTGCACGAAAAAACCAGACAAAGTCGGGTTAGCAGAAAAAACAGAAATTACCTTTCGTGGGAAAAAAACCCATTTCACTTAAATACTACTAACGATTACTAATCTCAAATACTACGTCATTACGTCATAAAATCACATACGAGATCATACAATGCATCAACGGAGCCATAGTTAAAATTATTATGCATCAAACGACAAGATCATACGATCATGCATCACAAGCAATTACTATATACCCGTGATCGATTCGAGACAAAAATGCTGCTCCGATACTTTTGTATCGGGCAGCTAATTTTTGAAAATTGCATATTTGATTCGAAATAACGCACCCCTTAAATAAATATTCATTAATAAAAGCAGGGTAACCCAAATTTGTCAAAATGATTCAATTATCGCGCATGAAATAACGCGCAGATACGCTTATTACGCGCCAATACGGTATACTCTTAAACTTTTCAGGCACCCAATTTTATATCTAATGATTTAAAGCGTGTGCATGGGCATCCCGAGATAATATGCAGATGACACGTAGGTGCATATTATGGCATGAAAAATACAGTAGTTAGAGTGAAAGCAACCCATAAATTAGCAAAATTTTGTTTAAATAATAAATATTTTATAACTTTTAATTTATATTTATTTCGTTTGAATTCAAATATTTATATCAAGTTAATTGGAAAATATAATAAACAAATAAAATTTTCTTTTAGAAGAATTTAAATTATAATCTTAATAATCGAAAAATTTAAACGAAAAGCCTTAAAAGATGCATCAATTTCATTTTACAAAACACATTCAATAGATTCATGCGACACAACCATGACAGCGGTAATAACGATACCAAATTCCATATGAGTCTCTTCTATCTACGACTCGGTCACTGCAACTACATCTAGAACAAATCGAGCATGATTGACAAGTACCTGATTTAATTGGTTTTTGTTAAAAATTTTTCTCTAATAATGATAATAACAATAATAATAAAAAAAAACTATTTACAATAATATAGCCCATAGGATTTAGAGCTAGTTTGATAGTGTATACTACAAGAGCATCCATCAGTTCTACTGCGTGGTATACTAGACAGTTTATGAATTAAATAAATATTTAGCATGCAGCCATCATAGTTATGAAATATACAAATATGAGGTATTATAATCTTCGTGAATTCTCATTAGACCTCCTCAAAGTTGTTTCATAATTAAACTTAACTAGCTTGGCTAAGCTTAATTATATATTTTTAGGCTATATCAAATGACTAACTGTGAAAAGTTCTTTTAACATTTTAAAATAATGCTTACTTCAAGGCTTGTGCCATTGGAAAAGTTAGAGATGACTCTGCTGTCATCGTAAAGAGACAGGCAAAAAGTAAAAATAAAATAAGTATAAGGGATGTAACCTGCTTCATTAGTTGCATATGAAATAAACAGAGGATTAGTGTTCGAATAAAAAGTCTGAGAAGTTATTTATATATCTAAAAGAAATACTAAAGACCAACTTCAAGTGTCTATAAAAGTATACTTATTTACAATTAATAAATTTTCCCATACTGCTTCTCATGAGAAATATTCGTACAACATAAACGGCGTATGTTGACCAAAATTAACGCGGATCTTTTACCATTATTATTGCTCGATCAGAGTCCTATACTTTATTTCTAAGATTAAGGAAAAAACATATGGGGATAGGTTCGCCATCTCAAGGCTACCGTAACACACGAGACCAAACTGAAAGTATAGGTCTCTTTCAAAACTTACATAACCTAAATTATCTAACTGTGTAACACACGTGAAATCATAGCTAAATAGAGAATCGCTAGTACTATTGGCTAAGAAATTAACTTGACTACACAACAAATATGTACAAGTTCTTGCACTGCTTTTGCAGTTGCTAAGCTTAGTTCTGAGGTCCTTGCACTGCCCAAGCAGCCGTGGAGCCTAACTCTGAGGTCCTTGCACTGTCAATACAGCCGTGGAGCCTACAACATGGGTCCTTGCACTGTGAGAAAAGCCTTGGAGCCCTATTCAAGGTCCTTACACTCCGTAGAGCCTACTGGGAGGTCTCTGTGCTGCTAACGCAGTTGTGGAGCCCTTCTTTAACTTACTATTATAATATATATCATATAACAATAAGAGGCTAGGGAGGGGCAGGGTGGGAGATAGAGCCAGCCTTAACACAAGGCGAGTGATAGCGAAAAGAAAGATAAGCTCCCTAAAGACAATCACACTCCTTAAATAATTATCATACTGCCCAGAAACGCCCCAACACCCATGCCAGCTCTCCCACCCTTATTTGTGGCTTACCATAACTTACAAACAAACTAACAATAATAGCAATGCCACCCCCTAATAAACATATTACTCAAGATTCCTACGCCATAAAACCTGAACAAACTATACAAAGACTAACCAAACTACTTATATAAACCTACATAACAAATAACATGTGATCTAAGTCCTCTAATTTCACAATAATGATTGCGTTGTTACTTCGTTGACAAGCTTCTTATTATTATTGTTCGATCAGAGTCCTATACTTTATTTCTAAGATTAAGAAAAAAACATATAGGGAATAACAGAGGATCGCTATTGTTAAAAACCCATTTTCTTTGAAAAGCATAATTTTGCCATGCCCACCGATCTTAGGTACAGCATAACTGACTTGCTGCCCATCCTCCTATAGCATGAATTTGTGCTAATGACATGCCTGCCTCCATTGCTGCCATTGCACCTCCAATTCTAATGCTATGAGCAGTAAATCTGCACTGCAAATTTGCATTCTTGGCAATTCTTTTAACTATAACACCTATGGCCTCCACAGTTAACTAGGTTCCATTTCGAGTCAAGAAAAGTGGCCTATCTTTTGAGGTTTTGGACCTAATCGATAAGTATTTTCTTAACAACCTTACTGGGCAATATTTACTATTTGAAATTTCTATAGGAATAAATTTTTCATTGGCAAATTGATCTGTTTTAGATGAACTTATGCGAATCCAAACTAACTTCTTTCCAAACTTAATATTCTTAAGCTTTAAATTGCAAAGCTCACCAGGTCAGTGCATAGTTCCTAAACCAATAGCTACTAAAGCAGCATCTTGTATCCAAAAATCTTTACTAATAAGCATTAGTTTCTTATCAACAAAAAACTTTAATGCAGCTTCTGTTAAGGGGTCATGTGGCCATTCTGGGTCTCTAGCTTTTCTATAATTCTTTAGTAGTGCTCTAAAAACCTTTTTAACTCTATACTTCTTTAAGGGGTCTAAAAGCTGAGCCTCCAAGTGAGCTCTTGAAACTGCTGCTAAAACATTTGCACACCCTAAAAATGATGAAGTTATATCTATAAAAGATACTAATGTATCCACCTCAGATGGTAAAACTTTCAAATCCATAACATTACAGTAATCTTTATAAACATCCCATGCTTTATCTAGTCATTGGTTCCAACTTCTTGATACTGCCCTTCTACTCAAAGCCTGTGCTCTAGCCAACAGGCTACTTACCAACTTATTCTTATAGCAATGAATTGCCAATTTAAATTTTTCTATAGTTCTACTTTTTCTGAAAACCCTCTGGTAAATGCGACTTAAACTGGAGGCAGAGACAACATGTCTACTCTCATATTCATTAACATTAGCCACCATTCTGCTGATACTCATCTGGGAACTACTATTGTTGCTATAGCCCTTTTTTCTCTTTTATATTGAAGGACACGGTAAATTAGAGCTAGTAGAGGACAAACATAATTGTTTTCTTTGATCCAACTTTGGGTAAAACAGTTTACTCCTTTGGAGTTTGGGCAATAAAATCTGCTATTGAAATGGTTTAGTTTGATATTCTGATTGTCTGCCATTTGATCTATAGAATGAGGCCCCCATTTGTTTTTCAACATTATAAACGCTGACTAATCTAGGCACCAATCATTCTGGTCTATATATCTGGTCAGAAAGTCTGCTGGATTTAATTCTGAGAGTATCCAAAAAACTTCGCTAATCCAAATATCAAACTCATCTAACAACTTACATAATTTTCTTAGTAATTCCTTCTGCCAAGGTAGGCTTCCTCCTCTTAAAACTGTTCCTATTGCTCCTTAATTGTCTATATATAAGTCGATCCAAGAATGTTGAAGTATTCTTGTAAAAGATTTTATTTTTAATATTACTGCTTCTGTTTCCAACCTTGTAATCTGTTTGAAGAATCTTTTTATATTCCAATTTCTGAAAGCATGAAGTCCTCCAAAGGTTGCAAACCACCCGATTGTTGATGCATCTACAAAGATTTGTTTTACTTTTGATGGCTTCCAAGCAGGATGGCCATTTTGCTTCTTTAAATTTTGAGCCATCCACTTGGCATCTTTCTTTGCTTGCTCTGTTAATTTTACCTATGAATCCCATTAACAAAAATTTCTGTTTGCTATATCTATTATTTTGTAAAACTCTAAACAATATACTTTGGCATAGGCGAAGGCTCTGCTTAAAGACTGAATCTTTCCTGCTGCTGCTGCCAAACTGTGAGCTGTTACTTTTTCCTTCTTCATAAGTTCTAACATCAAATTTCTTATTTTTATAATCTTTGTATCTGAAACTATTACCTGAGCCTTTACAGTATCTATTATTAGCCCCAAAAATCTTACCTGCTGTGATGGTTCCCATTGATCTTTTGAGGTTTCTCTTATCAATCCACATTTCTCTAGGTTTACTTGTATAACTTGGTTTCTTATCATTATCAAAGTATCTAATATAGGATGTTCAACCCAAAAATCATCTAAATAATTTCTAT